TGGCGGCTTTGAGTCACGTGTTCTATGGATTTGCTTTGTTATATTGGCCAACAGGGCAAATCAACCAATACTGGCGTAGGGGCAATCAAATCAGTCAAATCTTGGCGTTATTTAATTTATTGGCTTTAACGGCAGCGCTGTGCCCCAGCCATGGATTCGACTTCGTGTAGGTCCCATCGTCATTATCCTCGGAAACAAGTTCGATGTCACGCCTCGCCGCATTGATCAGGGCCTGAATCTTCGCAACCACCAGGGCGGGGATGTATCGGGGAATACCGGTGGCTATGATCTGACCACAAACGCTTGGGAATTTGGCTTCGCAGTCTTTGTTACACGAGCTGGCGACTTCAGCCTTGCTGTGAGTGATGGCTGCCTTCGATGCCAACATACGGGTTAGAAATGGATTTGAGATCCCATCGTGTATGTCGGAATCGGAGTTCAGCCATTCACAGGGGCCGAAGGATAACAAGAAAGGATTATGTGACAGCCCACTGACCCCTTCACGTGTGCTTTTCCGTCACTACGATCATGTCAGCCAGCGAGAGTCGCGTGCGATTTGCAATTGAGGCAATGGTCAATCTTCATGCCTATCAACAGCGCCATATTCCTCTCATGTTCATTTGCGGCTTGCTCGGAGCAGACTGCAAACTCTCTTGTGCGCGCACCACTTACGTTCCGCTTTGAATATTTCAAGACATCAACTCCCCATGAGAGAGAGCAAGGATTCACCAGTATACGCCATGCACATTGTGTAATAGTAACGGACTCTCTATTTCTGCTCTCGCCTATTTCAAACACTGGGTCGACTTCAATGTCCGACTCCTCTTGATCTGGCATACCAAGTCGCTTTCTGGAGGCCCTTGGCGTTTTGTTTATCGTTGTCCTTGTGGATATCTTCAGTGTCCTTCGTGCCCGCGAGGTGATGTATGCTGGCTTCCTTTCGTGCAGTGGAGTTGAGTGGTGCTGAATCAATAGCACTGGTATTCTGGCCATTGACCTGATTGTGGCTTGCACTGGAGACAGCATTTCTCGAATAGGCCGTCGCTGGCGTGACTTTTGCTGTTGTTCCTGATGCGGACGGCGCGCTGGTAGCGTTTGAAGATCGAAGCCCGCTGTGCGGAATGGTCAGCATCGGCTGAAAGGGTCACATGGAGCAGAGTAAGACTTACAATTGAGAAGCCTCGATTCCGGCGATTGCTGTAGCCTCAGGACGAGGGGTCTCGCGGAGATTCTCTGAAGATTTTGAGGCGGAAGCAAAGTGCGCCCAGCCCCTGCGGTCGGCCATGTTGTCGTCGGTCGAACAGCTGGAGAAGGGCGATGGATGGGGGTGTTGCGGGATGAAGAGTCGGTGGAGGAGGGTTTGTGGGATGAAGGGTTGATTCCAGACATCGTCAGAATCATCCATTGGAACGTGGAAATAACGAGACAGGACACTGCGAAGGAAGGGCCTGCCTTAAGGGATGCAGTTCTCACCTAAGGCAGGTACCAGCGAGTCTGCACCTACGTCATCAACGCGGGTGTGAGGGTACTTGGAAGCGACAACTTGACTTGCCAAGCTTCCCTTCCATTTCGATCATTCTCAGTTATTTTCGAATCACCACCGGGACCAACGATTTCAGGGCCATCGTTCCCACGAAGCGTGTCAGCGCCTCGGACGGGTCTTGCCACGGCCCCAGAATCTCCGGGATCTCTAAACCGAATCTACGGCTGACTTCTCTTGCTCTTCGGGCAGACAATGCCGGAGCTTTCCACGATACAGAGTCTCAACAGACGAACAAAGCAACACCAAGTCAACCTGGGACAGCTAAGTGATCCGGCTGACACTATTACGCCCACTACGCAGCCATGGATAGAGGTCAGTCACTCGTTGGCTTTCCATCTGCTCAAAGTTCGTTCCCAGACCAAGTTTTCATGCTCCTTCACCCCTTCGGCTTGGTTCATACAATAATGACGTGAGCTTTTCGAAGGCTGACCATTGCCAAATCCCGCTAATCCCTATCCTCTTACAACCCTGACATATCTTGCGTCTGAGCGACGCTGCGGGGAGACTCGCCCGGATGCAAAACTGGCGCGCTAAATGTCCTCAAGACCTACTCTCTGGTGTTCTTCTGAGCGGAAGTCGTGGTCGCGGCGTTCCTCTCGCTTCATCATGCGGCATGCCTTCAATCACGTATTGCAATATCACAGTGGCACAGACGACACCTTTGACCAGCCTCGCGCGTGTTCGCTCATTCATCTCGCTTCAATGTTGACTCCTTAAAGGCTCAAGCACATTTCGAGGGCGGATATCGTTCTAGAAGAACAGGTCTCACGCTGTCGGTCTCAATCACGTCGGTCGCTCACATTGCGAGGCCCATTCGCCATCGCGACAAAATTTTGCTGCTCCAAAGCTCTGTCGTTTCCTAGCCACCATACCTCCCGTCCTTTGTTCATGTTCATTTTTAATGAGTCGCCCAACATGGTCTTTCTATGCCCCAAGTCGCATTGCTTCGCAGTATTTGATCCAAAGATGCTGCCACAGACTTTGCCGCTGTGGTAGCACAGAATGGTGCTAAAAGCAGGCCAGGTTGCCCAGCACAGGCAACAGTCGAAAAGACATCCGAGGGGAGAGACAAACCCGAGAAAAAGGTTACCTGCACGGCAGAAACATACAACACCGGGCATTCGCCGGTCGTCACCGACCCGACTACTACTCCAGCCCTCACTGGCTTATCTGTGGGAGAGCGGACGGGATCCCGAGTTCTCCAGTGGGTGTGGTCGTATGTGTTAACACAAGCCCAGTTGATTGCCTATAGTGCAAAGTCAATATACAGAAAGGATGGCGAGAGCATGCGGGACGCTGTTGAGGTCCATCACTCAGGTGGGGAGCACAGTACAGTGACCGCGACGCGCGACGTTGCGATGGCTGACGTGTTGAGTGTGTAGCGGCCCTTCTCTACCTGAGATGTCGCGTGCATACCACGTGCCCGACATAAGGTTAGATTCACAGAGAGAGAGAGTATCAGACGGCGCGGGGGCCGGGATGGGTAATTGAAGGCGGATGCAATGGCCGACGTAGGGCACCTATCAAAAGTACTTTTGGGATGGGTACCCTGGGTATCGCGTGATTGCGACTTCCATGCAGTGGCTAGTTGCGTCCCTGCCTATCTCCCCGGGGCCGTGTCAATCGGAAGAGAGTTCCATTTGCCATAAGTGGCATCCAGCTATATCCCCAATTTATTGTGGTTCTAGATGCAGGAGTCAGGTAGAGGTTTAGCAAGCTTCCATCAGATTCGCATCCTTAGTTATATCCAGTCGTGCTTGCAATCAGGCCAAGCCCCCACAACCTCCATTGAGTGTCGTTCCTGAAACCGTTGTTGACCTTCTTGAAATATTCGTACTTCCCGCTTAAACCAGTCGCAGTTGCTCTTGGCATCGCCGATATCCGTCAGCCAATGCATACATATCTGGCGCTAAAGACGTGATCGATCATGGAGAAACCATAGATTATGCATGAGTGATTGGTCACATTAGGTTCTGTGAGCTTGAAGTTGTCGTAAATACACTGGAGTTCATAGCCCATGAAGTCAATTGTTCACCAACAACAGCGCAAGTAGAGATACCGTGATTTAAATCGCTGTTTCCGTCATCTGTAAGTTAGAATGCTTCGAAACCCTGGCAGAAAAAGAACGTTGTAATATCTCAACAGTGCCGAGAGATCCGAACATTGACCTTTGTACCTTACACGAGGTCCGTGGCCGGATAATTGCGGACTGAACCGCGGCAGGACGAGAAACCCTGGGGGCTGGTATAATTAGCTCAGGCATCCACCTTCCTACGGCGCCTGCATCTGAAACTTGCAACCCCCTGTTCTTCGCCAAAGATAGGCTTTTGACCATTACTGAACCCAGCTTCCCCCTGCGAAAACGCCCGCAATCGTGTCTATGTTGACCTGCTTCCCAAGTCAGTCTGCAAATATGCCACCTCTTTAGGCCCTGCACGATGGTCAGGAAAGCCAGGAACGCCAGGAAAGAAAGGGAGGAAAATAGAAAAGAAGAACCCCGGTGAGCGTTGCTGAGTGCAATTTGAACGCAACTCATATCCCACGGCTGTAATCCTCACTGTGAGAGCCACTCCTAAGGTTTTGGGCTCACGTGGAAGACATGGCCTCGGAGCCTCCCGTTCAGGGATGCCTACTCGTGGAGCAGTGACAGTCCTGCCTCGGGACCCCAAAAAGGAATGTTTGCCCGCGAACTGCTAAGACATGGGAGGGTTCCAGAACAAAATAAGGTTCGATGTCAGCGGCGGAGCGCGGCCAGCCAAGGCCGTATGCACTAAATCATAAATGAGGCATGGCACTTGGCACTTTGTCGAGGGGCCTGGAGCATCCGGATTGCCGTTCAACGACGGCAATCTAGCAGGAATTCCCACAACATTAACGCCCTGCATTATGCTGCTGCTTTTAGACATCAACCATTAAGTAAATGACCATGTTTCCAATTGACAAGTCCAATGAATATGACCTCAAGAGAACCGCATTCATATATGAGTCGAGAGAGCGCGAGAAATGTCGGTTTGGTCAGATGTTCATAGGCCATCACCGATCGCTCTACATTCTTTCACCCACGTTCCTTAGAAACGTTCACTCTCGTTAATTGAATATGAAATTTGACGCCCAACGCTCCTTATCTGTCATCTTGGGCTTTCTTTCACTCTCTGCAGTAGCATCTGACCTGCAGGGCGAACCATACCACAATGCTGTTCCGATCCTCCGACGAGCCACCCCCGTAAGGAACGGAACCCATACGGGAAGTGTCGCACTCTCATCCAGCCGCCGTCCTTCGTCTTTGCCACCATCCTCTGTGCCACCGTCTTCTGCCGCACCTACTACCCGTCCACTTACCATCACCAGCCCCCCTGTCTCTTCAGCAGCACCCACGAGCAGTGCCGCACCAGTGACCACTACGGTCAGCAATGGAGACACCATCGTTGTGCCCGTTGGCGTTGTCGTCGTTGGAGGACCCGGTGGTGGCTTCTTTACCATTGCCGGTGCCGCTGCTGGGGCCGCCCCGGTGGCTGTGGCGGCCGGCGCATCAGTCACCGCCGGCTCTTCGTCCGGTGACAAACCTGACGATCCGGACGATCCGAACAAGCCGCCCAGCTCTGCACCCGAGGCGCCATCTTCCGCACCACCTTCGTCTGCACCGCCTCCATCTTCGAACTCAGTGGCACCTACGAGTACGGAAGCCCCAACGAGTACCTCGAGTGCCGTGCCGAGCGAAACGCCAGCACCGCATGTTATCTACCCCAAAACCAGCGCCACAGATCAAGAAAAGAAAGACTTCCTCGCGCTGATTGACAAGGACCTTGGTCAAGGTAATTACAGAGTAACAGAGGGTACAAAGGTTTTGCTCGTCGCCGCCAATATCACCACTACGCAACGTGACAACCTAATCAAAAATCCCTTGGTACGTTGAGCTTTATCGTCCTGCTTCACGAAAGCTTTGTATTTCTAGTCAATCATTAGCTGACAAACCTGGCAGGTCGGCGCAGTCGATCCTGATGAGCCGGATCGCAACAACCAGGGCACATCAGTGCTGATCAATGAAAGAGACCATGATGATGAGGTCCACGAGAAGTGGTGGATGGAATCCCTTGACAAGCTCGGCAGGATTCGAAAGCGGGCCGTCGTTAAGCAGGCCACTGCCCCAACAGAACTCGTCATTCTTTCCCAGCCGCCGGGGGTAGACCTCAAAACTCTCAACACCTACGCATACGATGATAGTGCCGGAATCGAGATTACTGTCTACATTCTTGACAGTGGATACTACGCTAAAAACGCTGTAAGTACCACTCTTTCGAGTCAATTCACGTGCTGCGGTTGACTAACCTAACCCAACAACCAGGAATACACTGGTATGGCTGTGAAACCCCGTTGGATATTCGGAGGCTCCCAGGAAAAAGCATCCGTTGAAGAGGACCTTGATCCTGATGGGCACGGTACCTGTGCCGGATCTAAGATTAACGGTCCCAAGTTTGGAGTCGCAAAGAACGTCAACTTGGTCGTCGTCAAGGCCGGAATCAAGGGCTCCGATACCGATGACGCTCTTGATAAGATTGTGGATGATGTCAGGGAGAGGAAGCTGCAGGGTAAAGCCATTGTCAACATCTCGCGCTGTCGTACGTATCAATCTCCCGCCATCTGCAGCTTATTCTGTCGCACCGGATCCGAGCATCACCAACTAACATACGTGAAGGTTTGGACACTGCACCTGAGAACAGCAAAACCACAATGAGACAATACGTGAATGAGTTGATTGCTCTGGACGTGATCGTCATTGCTGCGTCTGGAAACGACAATCGTGTTGAAGTAGCAGTATGTGGGCCGAATAAGGACGCGTTAGGTTCTGTGAACTGACTACTTTTGTCTAGCAAGGAAAAGCGAAAGCTGCCGACATCGATAGCTGGCCAGGTCTGATGGCTAAAAACGGAGTTCCAGTGATCAACGTCGGAGCCGTTGATAACGCGGGAAAGAATGCCAGCTTCTCGCAAGGAGGACCTCATGTTCATGTCATGGCACCCGGCGTTCAGCTACAGTGTGCTGCCAATTCCTTCTTCCGCGGCACGCGACAGAATGACGGCACGTCTTTTGGTTAGTAGTACCAACCCATGGTCGATATATTGGGCGAAGGCCATCCATACTAACTGATGTATCCCAGCTGCACCCACTGTGGCCGGTCTTGCAGCGTACCTTCTTGCGGTAGGAGAATACCCCCAGCTGTTCGAGGTTGGAAAGGTAGCCGCCAACATGCAAAAGCTCCTCATGGATATGGCCTACCAGCGAGCTCCCGACGGAGGACCGGTTATTTTCAATGGTCAGGGTGCCGTCTGTGGCCGCCCTGGGCGAAGCGCCAAGTTCAAAAGACAAGACCTGAGCGGCGAGGCCTGCTCGGTAGTCTCGTCAACAACGACGATACCCTCTGCAACTCCTAGTCCTCCTCCAGCCACAACCAGCAATCCACCTGCGGCGACAACCGCGCCGCCGCCGCCGCCACCCCCTCCACCTGCGCCCAAAGAGCTCTTCTCACTGAGCGAGCAAGTTAGCGCTGGTACTTCAGCGTGTTTTCCCACGAACGCCTTTAGTGCAACAGCTGGAACGACGTACGGCTTTTCATTCGATGTCAGCCCAGAAATGATTGTGAGCATCGAGACAGGGTCAACAGACGAGGGATATCACCAATCCAAGGGACCATGGACAGGCACCTTCCTCGCCCAGTCAACTTCTTCGGTCAAGATCTGCGGATCTGGCGGGTCAGGCACTTTAGCCTTCAAGATCACTGAGGAGCCCTCCGAGGCCGTCAAAGCACCAGCCGGCAAGGAGGTATTCAAGTTGGACGAGAAGGTTGCGAGTGGAACGACGTCTTGTTTCCCGACTACTGGTCTGAATATCCAAGAGGGAAACTACGGGTTTTCGTACACCACCTCCGATGGTATCGAAATTCAGATCGGAGACGATAGTTCTGGGCCAAAATATTTCACTGGAAACAGAGCCTCGGGTGCAGGATTGATGTACATCGACTTCTCGGGGGGCAGTGTCTCAATTTGCGCGACAAACAACGGTGGTTCGGAGGCACCTCTTTCATTGACTATGACCCAGTAACGTATATAAATTAGAAGAATGCATGAATGATTCAATGACTGGATATGATGAGCGATGTTGAGATCGATTGGTCGCGCTGACGGAGTGAGGGGGGATTGCTGCTGATGCAGCTGATGTGCTGGCCCCCGGCGCGGAGATCCTGTTGACTGCAAGCTATTGCTTTAATGGCGTTAGAGCTTTGCCTGCCGCATTCTCATCTCTGGTCCAGCCTCACACTGACGACGGATACTTTGGAGGTCTTGGTGCTTTCCAACTTGAAGTCTGGACTGGGAAGAGATGCTCCTTCTTGTGTATGGTTGTGATGACAAAAACGTCCACTCGTATTGAACATACTGGTCTTGAATGGACCATCCTCTTTTGTTACATATAGAATGAAACAGAATCGTTAAATGAACACAATGCAATGCTGCAATCAGCACCAACTAGCACAAAGACCAACCCATGTGTAAACAGACGGGCAACATACCATATAGTGGAACTGCGTTGGTTCGCTGGATAATTTGAGCATGCTGGACTTGATATTGGACCTGCCTACAAAAGTGACAAGCGCGCGTTCGTTGCGAGCAGTCATGTTGATGTTGTGACTTTATTTGAATGAGCGAAGGCTGCTAGAAGCTCCATCACACGGCGAGGTCGTGTTCATGTTAGGTCTGGCGTCAACCCAGCCGAATTGGAACATATGAGGTGGGGAGAACTCCAGGCGGCGTGAGATCAGTGCTGGGTGTTATCCCCATCAATAAGGCTCACACGGAAGTCACCTTTGAGAAATTCCGACGGCTCTTGAAGCTTCCAGATGCGGGCGGGCCAAAAGCCGGGAACAAGCTCTTTATATGTTTCTTTTTTTGGCATGTTTTGATTCGAAGAACTCAAAGAGCATCCCACGCCCGTAGCATCCACAGGTTGGTGCGCAGTGACTCAAAATGTAAACGGAAGGACGCATACTACATCCGCCTTCGCGCTTTCTCTTGGGGCGTCGCAGTCTGATGGGCAGGCCGCGAGATGAAGAAAGTGATGGCGTCGCGTTGGGTCAAGTACAGTCGAGGAAGCCATGCCGCACCGACGTGCCTTCTATTCCGAGCCTGCCTGCTGGCCTACCTTATCTACCTAGACCTCGCAGCCAGCAGGCACCCACCTACCCACGCGCAACCTTACCCAACAAGTTTAACAACGCGATCGCCTCATATTAGAGGAGGCTCGCTTCTTTTCCCCTCGGAAAGAACACTTCCTGGCTCTGCGACATTGCCTCTTTTCAACCACGGTCGCCGCTTTGAACTGCGACAGAAGCCATGGCTGCCACCACTCGATCAGCGTCACTTCGGCCCCAGGACTGCTCTGAATCTCTCAGGCATCGCCGGCAGCGTATCAATTCCCAGTCGCAGAAGCCAAAAGGTATGTGTTGCTGCCCTCTCAGGTATGCCTTTCCACTGGGCTTCTTCTGATATTGCTTGTCTAGCGATGGAGGCTGAGCCAAAGCCCGGTGCCGCCCCGAAGGAGAATGTCAGTCTCAAAGAAGGCTACATCCGCATCATCATCATCACAAACTGCGTTGCGACAGACGAGACTGCCTCCATATTGTTGGACCAGCTGCAGGCTCTGGAACCGCTGGTCGCCAAAGGTTCTTCCTGCAGAACTTTCAAGGGCAACAGCGAAAAGATACTCATCGAGGCAGCCACATGCTGCGAGATCACCGCGGCAACTATGGGCGACTTTGAGGCCATGATTCAACATGTTTTGCCGGAATCCAGCTACGAGATCCACGTCCGCCCCCTGGGAGGCCCCCCTTTCCTTCCCTATGTCTAGATGGAGATACCGAGACATGGACTCGAAAGCGGCTGGAGAGAATTACGGGGTGGATGCATCAACGGGTGGAAAAGCAGGCAGTTGGGCAGTGGGCGGGCGTGTATTGAAGCGGGGGAACATAGATGTAGTCTTCTACGCGAGAACTCATACCCAATCCCAAAGTTCGTTCCAGAAGTCGCCATGTCCCCAATGCCAGACCTAGATCATCCCTCCTTTGTCGACGATGTCTCTGATCTGGTCCCCATGTGCGTGGAATTGGCGATGGCTACATCAACGGGAGAATGACCTGACGAGTCACCACTGGGTCTTTCCGCGCGACCAGAGGCCATGTGATGCCACCGAGCTGGAAAGGGCAGGAGACACCTACACATTGTATTCTTTTCGGAGTAAACACCGACGGTAAACGAGGAGACCAGTCACTACACTTCTGCCTTCCTCTCGGATTCCACGCCGTTCAAAGGCACGTGCCGTCCGTTCAGGGTTTCAGCTCTTCCCGGTCCAGTTCCTTCGGGAAAGGATGCTGCCCCTCTTCAGATAATGCGGTCTTAGGTCTTGCTTCATATCGTCATCACCCTTCTCTTTGTCCATTGAGCGTCGAGACAGGCATCGTCAGAGCTCCTTACTAAACGCTCCATTGCTGATGGTAGCTTCGAAGTGCAAAGTGGCCCTGAAGTAGTGGTAGCTCCTGGGAAAACTGCCAAGCAGTAGCTTTCGTTGGGGCAGAGTCGGGTTCTTTCTCACATCCTCGGGCCATTGGAGACGCAAGGAAAGGACGCTGGGATGCACTCACTGCCCATGCAGGTGCCGTATAAGCAAGGCCGAAAGTCTTGGCGCTGGAAGCGACGGAACATCTCCGCTATGGAAGCAGTGGTTTCACTTTCCCTGGACCGGCCGGCTGTGATTCAATGGTATCAGAGTTGGTCAAACGAGATGGTGCTGTATTTTCCATCAAACTAACGGTGGAACTCGCGGGTGGTGTGTGGTTGGGCGCTTGAGGTTTGCGGAAAGTGAAGACCGCCATCGTCTCCCTCTGGGATGGTTATATTGGAGCCTACTTGACCGCTCATCGTTATCCTCGCCCGTAAACGGCTGCAATGCACACCTCTTAGATCCCCGTCTGCCCCAGGTCAACCCGCAGCCTCCACCGTATCTTCGTAGTAGCTCTCTTTCAAACATTTGGACCATTCTGGCTCCTCACCGTCAGCGGTTACCGACGATCCCGAGTCACTCTTTTGGTCAGACTCCAAGTCCTCCGATTCTCCCTCCATCTCATTGATATTGCCGTTGTTATTTGTCGTGAAGAACTCCAGCGCTGCTGGTCCCCAGGCATCAGGCTTCGAGGCCTGGTCAATGTCGCAGAAGCAGATAGTTTGAGCAGTCTGAGATCGTAGGCAATAGAGTTAGCTTAGGACGTGGATGTTGAAGGAAAGGAGACGAAAGGAAACAGAATCATCAGCACGGTCCGACTCACCAGCCTCGAGCTCTTATCCTGGGCCTCGCACCATTCTCTCAGACCTGATGTGGTCACGCGGCCTTGGAGGACGTTCTTCCAGACACCATCGTCGAGGGAAGACGTCTGCACATCCTTGAGAACAGCAGGCGACGTATAGAAATGGACACTGATGTCGAGACCGTGGCCGAAGACGGTGGTAACCTTGTCCTGAGTCAATGAGCGCAGAAGCCTCGACAGTACTTCAGTCGAGACAAGGAGAACGGTCGGGGCAAAGGGCGGCGAGGCTTTATTTGCGTCATTGCCGAAACAGGTCAGAAAACCCAGCAGCTGAGCCCAGTCGTGTTCCTTTGTCGGCAGCAGCGATGTCTTGAACTGGGTTGTCAATAGCCTGGGTCCTGCCATCGTGGAAGTAGGACACAGCCTGTGTCGTCTGGTACTGCGTCGACAGTGTTGAGTTGAGTGCGGAAGGAGCTTGGACGAGGTAGCTGCCCGAGCCAAGGTAGGCAGGTAGGTGGCTGGGTTTGTGGGTAGGGTGCTTTCAGGTTGTTGATGGAATGGAAAGGAAGTAGGAATCTACTTGAGTAGTCGCAGTGAATGCGAAGTGACTGTCGAGTGGGTTTCAACGCAGCGCCAGCAAGACCCAGTGGTCACCCAGACGTGCCTGTCCCATCCGGGCCTTCCACAGCAGTGTTAACAGACACTCCCGTCTGTTACGGCCAATCCACCTGGCCAAGACTTGAACATACCTTATGGGAACATCCTCGTGGTGTTGTGTCCTACTCAGAACTATGTGTGCCTCTTTGCCTTTGAAATTCCTCTTGTTATCAACAATATACAGTGTCTACGCCCTCTAGAGCTTTCTGTTCTATTTGGATCTGCCGCAGAGAGACTGGGCGAATAATCTGGTTTGCATGCATCAAGTCTTGAATCGCATCGCCGCGACACTTAGTAGCCTTTGCATCCAGCCGTTCTTGAACGAAATCGAGCCTCCAGCTGTTGTACTGATGCATCACAGCTTCCCAAGCTCGGATGATGGATGGTTTCATAACAAACTTCCATGTGCCCCTCCAAAGAACTACAGCTTGCGCCATGTTGCGGAACGCCTGATACCTAAAGAGAGATGATAACCCCTTTCGTCCGTTCCAAATCTCCATAGTAACTAGCTTGGGCATTTTCACAGCTGCTGCTGCTGCTGCTGCTGCTCGAAGCATTGCTTCAATTTCAACCAAATTCCCGTCGGGCCTAAGTAACCTTGAAGTAAGAGTAAGTGAGATAAGGCTCGGCCACTCCCAAGCGGGTTGGATTTCGAAGAAACTGCTGGCATCCACGATAAAGGATGCTGCGAGATGCTCCAGCTTGAGGCTGGCGAGCGCTAGTATCCGGCTAACGGCTGGATCAGGTTTCCGGAGACTGTCACACTGGGCCAAGTCGACTCCGTTCAGGAATCGCTGCATCGTAGCTGGATACTGTTGATTGAAGCTCTCAAAGACTAAGAGTCTCTTGAGACTGTTGTTGAAGAGGCGGATAGACTCAAAAAGATATCGGTATTCTAGACAGAGGATTTTCATATCAGCAAACGGGTGTGTAAAGCAAGTCAAAGCGAGCAATGACTTGAAGATGCAAGGTGGTGGTGTCGTAATACTCACCTTTGTCTGTAATGTGCTGTGGGAAGTCCCATTCTCTCCAGGGCTCGTAATGGAGTTCTTCAAGCCTAGGAAACCGGGCAAACATATGTGCCAGTGACTGCGGCTTCCATCTCCGGCGATTCTGTTGGCGGAGAAGTAACCCGGTCACGGCTGGGACTGCTGGAAGCTGATCCCACCATTGGAGCTCTAATTGACCACTATCAAACGGCCCCTGCTCCATGACTGAATGGAACACTTTTCTGATGGCAGATCGAGGCGAAGCGGCGTGTCGAAACCCAGCAACCCAATCATGTCGAGGGTCATGATAGTGTCGGCTTGATGTAGCCTTCTCGATACTATACCCACTTGACATACTCCAAGGGGCGTCAGGTATTGCGGTGAGATATGGAAAACAATGCTCCGAGTCGCTGGGCGAGTGGATACCAATATCTAGTATCAAATCAGGTCGAGCATCTCATGTGCTGAGAGTCGAGAATAAATCCCGGAATGCCGTGGTGATGGGACATTTATCTGTGTCGTTGATTTCATAAGCCTTCCCCCACTCTCCTGGTGTGAGCCTTATACCATTAGGTGCGCACGTGGTGCAGTCGTAATCATCAAGCTCCAAGCAGAACCAGATGTAGCTAACTAGTGCCTGATTTCTTTGAATCATTGCCCCAAAGTTCACGAGGCGTGATGGTGTCAGTCTGATCCGAGCGAAGTTATGTCGCTCGATCTCGGTTTACCACTCTCGGGACACAGTGGCCAAGCGACCTAGCGAGCAATCTGCTTGCATTAGGTCATGGATGATAAGAAGCCGGATCTCTCTGGGCAAGCGGTGCCATGTTGACCACTGTTGTTTCTTGTTGGGTGGCGTTGGAAGCATCGTGGTATTGATCTCATATAATATATTCGGCGATAGAGGAGTGTACGTAGGAAGTCTTGAGATACGAGGTTATGCGATTGATAGACGTTGAGAGAAAGAGTATCCGCCAATTTTCATATGAACAGAGCGATATGTTGTGAATTAGATTTGTTACTACAGTAGTTGTGTGGCGGAGCTAGGAACTCGCAACTTGATCGGTGAAGACCTTTTACACAGGGGAGCGACCTTTTCAACCTGACAGCAACTTTCCAGCGGACATTGACAGCTTGGGACAAACACTCCGCATATGGGCCCTCAATTGACCAAAGGGGTACCCGCTAGTATGTTGTACGTATTTAGGAACATTCACGATGTCAAAGCTAACCAGGTGTTATGAAGGACAGAGCAAGCAAATATTGACCTTGCGGTCATACTCTAGCTGGTCGAAGGATCATCGTAGTTGTCGGTAAGCGTGTATTGGATCTTGAAATACGCGTCCGTGAGAATGCCAGCCAGGCGGTTCATGTTGACGTGGGAGAAGGGGAAGATCGAGTTGCACGTGCTGTTTACGTTGTTTTGGCTTGTAACTGAATGTCAGTGTCAGTTCCAAATGGGTGCCGAGTAAGACACTATATTCCTGGACCGGCCCATCCATAAGAGCCCATCAAACAAAGTCAACAGGGTACGAGGTCACTTTGCTGGACATCTGAATGAGTGGAGCTGACCCGGGGGACTCCAAAACGCCCAGCCATTCCGCTCGATGTAGACATATATTAGCTCAAAGGGTGCTTTATCTACCTATGAAACGTCTCAAATAAGAAAATTTCGTGTCCCTAGTCTGAGTCACATAGACTATTTGCAAGCGTCGATTTACGCGTGAAAGATTGGTTCTGGACGTTCTCGGACCTTACATCAAGGTTGGTACGAGTGCTGCGAGCCCGTATGGCCTCAAGTCTTTTCGCTGATTGCAACCTCCTCACCTCTGCATCTGGTCTACATTTAACCGCTTTCGTGATACCCTTGCATATCAACTTAATGCAGGTGCTTTGGAACCTTTCTTGCTTGAAATTTCAACATTGACGCGTCACGTATTCTGCTTCCGCGTTATTATTACAAGAGGTAGGTAGGGTGATATGGACCTCTCATGACATTGGACTGGCTAGTAGGCTCCCTCTAAAGTGAGAAGTTTTCATCCAAAAGCCACAGGCACTGTGCGCAACAGAGTTCGACCATTCTTGGGGCAAGCCACCGCATCCACGGACATATTCAGTCAACCTTGGAAACACCCCGTCTGCTTAAATTGTCGACCAAACGCTTTCGTTGTCACTAACTTTCTCTTTTTTCCTCCAACGCTGCTGTCACATCACTATTTCAACCCTTCTTCAACTCTTTTATTATTCAGCATGGAAAACAGTCGTCGTAAGTCACCTTCAGGCTGCCACCAGGAACACTGTGTGGGTGTCAAGAACATAATCTAACCATTTACTACAGCGCCGATTGGGGGTCTTACGGCAGGGACAACCCCGTTCCAGGGAGGTGATCTGGTGGAAGAGTCGATTGGTCACCGGAACTCGTGCCAAAATAGCTGCGATGGGTGCTCCCAGGACAGCCAACAAAGCGTCACGGTATGCGGCGACAATTGCCATCACCACGGCGATAACGCCGTGTGTGTCCCCGTTGATGACAGGAACGTCAACACCATTTACCCTTCCTCCTGCGATTGTTCTGCTCATAGTGGCTACGGATTGGCGGCATCAGCCCAAGGGACTGCTTCCCAAGACCCTGCTTCAGCCCAGTTACCGATACTGGATTATCAGCCAACCAGGTCTTACTTCACCATAGATATGGCTGCGAGTAGGGGCTATTTTGATCCTATCCGTTCGGCTAGCCGTGCGCCTAGCTTTGTCTCTAGCTATCCGCCTGCCTATATGCCGAGCTATGAGCCTACCTACTCCTTTCCGCCCGTTCCTCCTCAGTCTCCCCTTCCACCAAGGCCTCCCGTTACACCAGATGCACCTACGTCTTCCGTTCCGCTTAGCTACGCGAATAATGAATTACCCTCTCGTGTCGATAGCGATAATCGCACATGCATCCACCACGATTGTTTCAGACGGTGGCTCGACGAGAACGAAGACTCTCCCTCCAATAAGAATGTTGAATCTTACCTCGGCGACGAGTTGTCGTATGTGTACTCCTCGGAGGAGAGCAGCTCGTGCTCCGGCAAGGAGGAAGAGGAATGGAACTCCTCTGACGAGCTGGACTGGGAAGGGTTCCAGGACTTCTCCGCCCCCTTGTCCAATGAGTATACCATTGAGACTACGACGGGGAATGGGTACACGACAAACGAGACCTTCGAGGATAATGAGAACCAGGAAGAAAGCCAAAGGTTGACCGACAGCACCAATGGCCGCATAAACACGTCTAACGTAAGTAGGGAGTGCACCCCGTCTCAAGAGGATGGCCATGGTGATGTGGTGTTCCTCTATGCCATTGAGAATTGTGATATTGACCACGTCGGTCGACAAGGTAAGCCGTTAACCCCAAGGTGGTTGCATCTCTTTTACCTCAGTGGCTCTTACTAAAACTCTATACCAGGCAACACCAATGGTCAAACGACGACGCGTCCCTCTGGCGCATGCAAGCGCAAATTGGAAGCAGAAGAATCTGTAGAGGAACATGAAGACAGTGACAGCAACAACGAGATCCTGTGGGCGACTAAGCGGGCATGCATTGCCCAAACGCCCCAAGAGGAGGCCGACGGGGATGAGGGTCGTCTTCTCGAGCCGAGTTTACAAGATCCTGTGAAGTTCTTGGCCGGCACGATCGACCACTCCGGCAACGGCTCTGTTCGCAACGATGACATGCCGATTATAAACAGAAGTGACCAGCAGAATAGTGAGCAGCTAGATTACCAGCTCGAGCTGATCTTTAAGCTTTCTCAAATGGGGCCAGCGATTGCCAGCTCCGATGCTCCCATCTACGATAGCATCTACGCCGCCATTTGGGGCATGGCGGTGGCAGCTTTACAAGCAGCCGCCAGCGAGGGACTTCTGGACCGATTAGAGTGGTGGCGCTCGCAGGGAAAGGAGAAGGTTGAGGGCCGTGGTCCTGCGAGGGCGAATGGAGAGGATGGCGGCCTGGAGGTTCCCGTTGCGAAACCTACTGGCGAGGACCTTGGGGACATCTATTCAAGTTCGGGTTAAGTCTTTATATGCATGTTCTCTGTTGAGACTTCTTTAGCTGTAATCGTCAAGTCTTGAGTCAGGCTTTGATTTTGATGTGCTCGACAGTGATGATCTGCCTCGACTCCCAAGGCCCCACTGCGAAGGGGGCTTTTGTCTGACCGCGACAGGCTGGGTACACACCATTAGGGACCTTGACAGACTATGGAACTAGACGCGACACTTAACAACAGACGATGAGCATCTTGCGGAGGCCATGTCTACTCCCTCCGTCAGCACGGCGCATCTTGCCTTGCCGTTCAACCAGACGCTGCCGCTACCATCACCGCACTCGCGGCAATGTTGTGTCGTCTCTTCGTTCACCCTTCTCCTCTTGACCTATGAATGACAGGCTCCTAGTGTCTTTGGATCTCGCTCATAACTATTCATGGTCCCTTTACCAAGAAAGTCTTCCTTGACGTGAAGGTTCTTGGCCCATTGAGCATGCAACAAGGGTATTTTCCGAAGGTGCCTCCAGCTGAAAGTATCTGATGGCTAGGACCCAGTCTGGATCGGTTCTGTTAAATTGGGTTCCCCCATTTTTCCGCGTATAATGTATATGTCCGGGTGGTTTTCTATCATACTTGGCTCTCATAATTTATCGCTCATGCTCGGTCCAGTAGAGCCGAATCAGTGTCGCAAACAACTTCTGGCAAAGTCCGCACTCAGCCTTCAGGGGATTACGCCGAGATTGCCACCTGGACCTACAAGAAAGGAAGGGGAATTTCGGCGTCAAACTCGCATATAGGGAAATACTTCGCGGGGGATCACGCCGATGGATTAACCTGGAGTCCGAATGTTGATACAAATTTTGATTTTGGAGCTTCTTGAGTATGCGCCATGATTCAAGCCATGGCGCGGCCTTGGTCGGATGGGAAAGCTTTGACTGCTGAGAGCACCAACACCAAGAACCTCGCGGCAGGAAGAAATGGAATCTCGACGGAGGACCCGACTGCGAGCTTGCGCTTGTTTAGGTAGACCTGATCTGTCATTTCCAACGGCTGTGTTGTGGGTCCTGCTTAGCAAGATGGACTAAGACATTCCTCATTCGTATTCATATTTTAGTAGCCATCAGCTCGAATTCGGGCTACTTTATCATTTTACATTTCGCTTTCCTTGCAAAACCGCAAGTCGCTATTCTTCGTTCAGTGTTCTTCACCCACAGCAAGGCCAAGTATGCATAGCAAAGCTTTGGGTCAGACACAAGTTCAATTCCCCACGGGGAAGACTCTGCAGTCTTTTTCCAGTTATCCATCCATCAACAATTTCCAGCACCCCCCACACAGAAGTGTTTAATAGGATCCCCATCTTGATGACTGTGGTGGCTGCTACTTAGTTTTGTACAACAAGTCTTCAAACCTCATTTCATAGCTTCCCAGCGAGAAGCAATTTGAGCAGTAGTCCACTGCCAGGCCGGTCTGCTGCTAACACCCTTCCACCAAGAAGCCAAGCTGGGCAGGTCTTGGAGAAACTCAGGGTCAGTCTCCAGCAAGCAGTAAATGAAGATTGCTGACCAGACATCTATGAGGGAGAAATTGTTGCCTGTCAAGTACTGCCGCGCCGACAATATGCGGTCAAATACTTGCAAATTGCCCTCCACCTGACGTAGAGACTCCTCGATTGCCTCCGGGTAAACTGGAACGCCAATTTTCCTAACATAACACGTAAGTCAAAGTCCTCCTTTTGGAGCTGCCACAAGATCGATTGATTTCCGTACGGGTGCACGACCTTCTGTTTGAGATACGTAATAGACGACGCGGCAAGATACGAGGACTCAAAACACGCAGCCTCCTCAAATTGAGCGACGGCTTTGTAATCCTCAAAGTTGGGCAGAAGAGCAGTGCCCTCACTGGCGTACTTCAACGCTAGCCAGCGGGAAATAGCTCTGCATTCTGTGTCATGCCACATCTGGTCAGCACAAGAGTCTCGGTCTGTTACCTTGAGTGAGTGCGGCTACCGCAAATTTTCGTCACATTTCCATCAGCGTCAATGTCCTCCAAGATGGGTACTTTCCCAAATGGGTGCTTGGCATTCATAAGATCCCGCTGCATGCAACCAATCATCAGCAGTGGGATGAGTCGGGAGAACTGACTGCCATTGTCATTGTTACCAACTAGGTTAAGACTCATACCTTGGTTTCGTGGCTGAAGAGCTTGACGTCGACGTATTCGAAGGACAAACCCTTCTCATGAAGCGTGAAAAGACAAATAATGGTGAAGGGTGAGTAGAAGTCTCCGTACAACTTGATAATTGATGCCATTGCAAGGGGATTAACTGATGCTGATTTGCTGAGGCAAAGACAGCAGTGAGCTAACAACACGGGGTGCAGAAGAAAACCTGACATGTGACCAAGACGGGTGAAGGGGAATTTAAGATTCAAGATACGAGTTAAACAAAAATGCAACTTGTTCGGATTTTCCGGACAATTCCACGAAATCTGTGTTTCTCTTGGCAAGATACGCATACCGTCTCACCAATTGGCTGCCAATGTGACAAGTGAGGCCCCGCTTCAGAGGGAATCCAGTCTGCGGAAGAGCACCGGGGCCGGTGCAAAGTTTGTGTCCATCCGGCCCCACATTCCGCAGGAGTTGGTCATTCCGAGATTTCGACATGTCACTAGGGACCACGCAGGGTCCCATACAAAGAAATTAGGCTGGCCATTTTTAATCGATAGCCACATAACCATAGAGACAGCAGTAAGTATTGATGATGCCTTTCAATTCTGGTTGTCATACACAACTTGTATCTTGCTGGGAGATGATGAGTCGGCGATAGCCGTTCGATGGCAGCATTCGCATGTTTCTTTCCCTCACACATTAGGACCTGGTTCTAGCTCTCGTGGCGCGGAAGAGAATTTATGAAACCAGGATAACAATCAATTTCATATTAACTACGAGACATCAGAGTTTCGTGCAGGAAATCCCCACAAGGCCACGGCCTAAATCATATTGAACTCCGGGGTATCGTCGACCGCTGTGGTCCTACCAAAGAGCCCTTGAAATTTGGAGAACAGCGTCAAAAGATTCAGCCACTGGCCCGCTAAGAACAAGAATACCCTCGAGGATACCTCACTGGTGTTCAAGGGCTTCGCTTAAGTCAGCTTAGAGCGCCCGAAACGCGTACATGGCTTCAACCACGGTGAAATGACATCTCAACTTACAATGAAGTTATCTCCGCCGCTCTTCCTCACCCATTCAAATGCTCGGGGGATCATCTCACTCTCATACTGAATAACTGCCTTGGCCATTTCTTCAGTCGACACGCTATCCTTGCCGGAATGTTGACTCGCTAGCCCTGTCAGAAATGGCAGCATCTTGCCGGCGTCGTACATGGCTTGGTTTCCGCCTTGGCCACTGTACATCGGTGAGCGAATACTCTGATGGGGCGTAGATTGAGCGTTTTCGGAAGGATGCTACCCCCACAACTTCGTCAGGCGCCGAGCGGGATTCTGAAAGAGGACGGCTGCCTGCAGGCGTGAATACTAAACTCACCGAGGCGGTAGCATGGCGTGGATAGCGTCGCCCATTAGCCAAATTCGAGGGTGACCGAGCTCTGGCTTATCTTCGGTCCGGACGTTCTGCCGCCAGTTCTTAGCCGGTCGCTTTGCCACCCTGGGCACATAGATGTGGAGAGGGACGCCTCTCATAAGGTCAATCATCTCGTGGCTGTTTGTTCTCGTGTCAGTACAAAGCCTCCTGATCTCGTGCATGGGAAGTAACAGCGCTGAAGATCTGGACTTACAATGGTACCGCCCAATCCTTGATGGCTTCCGCAAAAAAGTCGTATTGCCCGTCTAGAGAGCGCTCATGGATGTCATTCAGCAACATTTCTTTGGTGACGGCTAGGCTGAGCATGCACGAGGCTTCATCCTCGTCGTACTCCCGCCCTGCTCTCTTTCCTGCTTCCCCGATGTTCCTATTCGGAAGATGCACTAATGATGCCTTTTAGCGAAGGGTCTAAAATGGGAATCACGGCGAAGTAGGTGGGGCCAGGCCGACATTCCTCCTTTTCTATAGGCGGTTGCCACTTACCTCCGAAAAAGACATGTCTGTTCTCCGCCCAACACATCACTGGGGCCACCGACCAACTCTTCGGACATGGTTGCGAACCGTTTGACCGGTAGACTACATTTGGCCGCGAGAGTTACATGCCTGGGGATGTAGTCGAGACTCGCAAGGCCGACCAACTTGTTGACCTTGGAGTAGCCACCATCCGCGCCGATGAGGACGTCACAGTCGTCGTAGGATCCGTCACTCAGCCAGACGCGGACTCGCTCATCAATGGAGCCGGGGTTCAAGATTTCGTAACGCTCCATGGCGGTGTCGTACTGAAGCTTGCCAGCCTCGTAAAGGGGTTCAGCGAGACAATCGCGTAAGAGGCCGCGTGTGATGGGTGCGTTTTTGCCGTAGGCTGGGAAGCGGCTCAAATCCATGAGCTGCGTCCAGTCTTTGTGGAAGATGCGGGGGGCTTCGGCCTTAGCCTCGGTGGCTGGGCCGAACTTCTTGATGATGGACAGCATGTGGTTGGTCTCGAGACACGCGCGCATGCCAGCCAATGCCGGCGATGTGAGGCGGATTTGAAGACCTTCACGCGTGGAATGAAGTTCCGCGCGCTCGTAAACTTTCACATCTACGCTCTCCTTCATGAGCCCGCAGCCAAGAAGATTGCCCGCGAGGCCGCCTCCGATAATAACTACCCTGAAAGGCATGTTGTTCAAGCAATCAGTCAGACTTTCTTTTGAGTAGATGATGGTCGTGTAAAGTTGATAAATATCAAAGATCCTGGGTGCATGTCTTACCACACGTTTTCCAAGTGCTGAAGGAGCTGACTGGAGCTGCTTTTGTACAGCGATACTTCGAATCTAGCACACTCGTATTCAACAGCATACAATCCAAGGTTCCCATCTAGTGGGGGGTAGGCTGAGGTTACTCGGGACCGAGCAGTATTGCCCACCCATCCATGCAGGGAAAGTGACGGAATGTGCCGCATATGCTGATCTGTAGTTCGTTGGCTGACTCGTCATCAAGGGATTGGAAATTCCGGGCCGGCATTTCCGGCGTTCCATCTGGTAGAATCGCACTGATCGTACGAGGAGCAATACTACAGCTATGTACTTTGCTTCATCGCTAGCGTACTGGGAAGTTAGACTTTTTGGTACAATTGGGGATAAATAAACTAAATATCTAAGGACGTATTCGAAGAACTCATGAATGGAAGACATCAAAAGACCGCTTAATCACTATCAGAACTGTTCATTTGGCTTATTCTATTAGCTGAGTTCTCCGTAAACTCTTTTTGTCTTTGTTCTTCTTTGAGTTGGATTCAAAGACAATGGCGGCGACTTTGCCATACCATGGTCCGTTTCTACGTCTCTCAGCTGGCTGCTTTACGGACAATTTCTCATGATCATCCCACGCAGATTACGTTGCGTTGTCAGGACTAGTGCTCGACTGGGTCGACAGCTATGACAGCAAGGCATGTGTTACTCTTCTGCACGTCAGCCAATGGCTGCTAATCAACTTCCATTTTCCTTCTCGGGGACCGTTTCAATGACTGAATTCTAATACTTCATCGTCGAGATAGGACTGGAACAGGCTGAAGACCATCCTAGCGCCAAAGCTCACGGTGAGTTTCTAGATCCCCGGTCATCTCTAGATGAGGGGTGTCAAAGCACCCACCAAAGCTGAGCAAATTGCAAGGTCGATTACAGCAGTATTGGGGGTCCAAAGCATGAGGAAATGGCAGCGGAAGACTTTGTCGCCGTGATTAGCGGCCCCGAGATGTTTGGCGATGCTTCACTAGGTACACAGCACCTCATCGGCGCCTCCAAGTGGGAAAGGATTGATGAGGACAAGGTTATTGGCCACTACCAGATGCGATCCACATCGGTACGCCTGACTGGTGCCAACAGCGGGGAAGAAAAGGTTGAGGCGGATCGGAGGGTTGTTCTCATGCAGTCTTACGTCAAAGCCGACGGAAAATGGAAGTTGGCTGCGCTGAAGCCAATGGGTCGATGAGGAGTCCAGGATTACTTCTTCAGAGGAGTTACAATCATTTTGAACAGTAACGCAGCGAGTTCCTATGGTGCGCATGGTATCAGTGCCATGTACAAGAGATCTAATCTCGCTTGGCCGCAGCACGGTCTTGTCAACCAATCCCATATTGACCTACTCGCATGCTCACGATTCATGTTCGAGTGAAATATTGGCCAAGCTCAGTACAATCTTTCGTATATCCATTCACGAGTCGTTTCGCTACTGCAAGGTTACAACATGCCAAGCATACTGCGGTACATGTACTTATGGCACGCAACAGAATGCCTGCCCTTTTCTCGGGAACTCGTTGACACTTACCGTCAAGTTGTGCTATGGTGCAACAATAGCAGGGCCGAGCCATTGCCATGACACTGACCGGGTGATAGGCGTCACATATACTGAGCGATAAAGGGTTGGGTCTTGGCACTGCTCGGATAATCCAGAGAACCTGGAAAGTTGCAAACAGCCCTCCTGTTATAGCTTAAGGTCGTCGCAGTCGCCTTACGTGACTCAACGGCCATTTAAAGACGTACCGACCGTCAGTACTTAACGTGCACCCAAGTAAACGATATCAGTCAGATCACAACACACATGCGTTGAAAGTCTGTTCCTCACATTCTGGTGACACTTTCTCTTCTTGATTTCGTGGACTCAGTCATCGCAATTCTCATTCCATCATGGCTTCAGCTCCAATCTCTGTGAGGCTGCCCGCGACGGCCATCGCTGTAGCAGACCCTAAGGTTCGACAATATTTTGCATTCTTTATTGAACCCAAGAACGAGCGTGTAGTCTTAAATGTGGAGACTTCAACTGACAGACACTCTCTTATACAGTCATGGCCTCTCTGGTGGCGTCTCTGCATGTTGGGGTCTCTCAGCTGGTTCGTACTGATGGGCCAAGTCATGAGTGCTTCACTTCCACCGATGTTGGGGCCCATCATGTATGAATTGCACGTCAGTGCTGCGCAAGCTGGGCTGTTCTAGCCCTTGGCTTTGGTGTAAGTCGTTCTGGGTGTGTCCCTCTCGCACTTGGTCTCGCTGATACGCCATACTCAGAACATATGGGCTGTTCCCGCAGTCGCCAGCTTTGGTGCCAGATACACGATGATCTTCGGGCTCGCTATTTTTACGGGAGGCTTCTTTTGGCAAGCTGCTTCCGAAAGCTACGACTCCCTGCTAGCAGCTCGCATAATTGGCGGCTTGGGAGGCGGTGTTGTCGAGTCCATGGGCCCAATGATTGTCGTGATCCTGTTTCCGCCGGAGTATCTTGATCGGGCTATGAGCGTCTACACCTGGTCACTCGGCGCCGGCACCGTCTTCGGTCCCCTCTTTGTTGGCTACCTGATTGAGGGACTCGGCAGCTGGCGTTTTCCGCAGTATCTTTTCGGCATCATGTCGGCACTCAATATGGTCGGCTCCATCCTCATGTTCCCCGAGCCCATCATGAACATACGCGTCCGAGGGGAACCGCCTCTGTTCTCTGCCCCAGACCCGAGCTGCGGAGATGAAGCCCCGATCTCTAAGAGAGGACGTGAGACAATCAGTTTGGAGAATCTAGGCCCCGAACGGTCTGTACAAGATGAGCAGCGAGAGTCTGCTGCACCGCCAGTCCCTCCAGGATCTTGGACAAACCTCTGGACGATGCGGTCCTTCTTTTTACGTTTTACACACCATCATCCAGTCAGCGGCTGGCTGTCCATGGCCATGGCACCATACCGCATGCTGGCCGTGCCTGCTGTGGTGCTCACCGTCTTGCTTTTTGGTGTGTCCATCTCCACCAACATAGCAACTTCCATCCTCGTTTCCTTGATATTCTCAAAGCCCCTTATGTTGTGGTCCACTGATCTTGTCGAACTGTTCAACCTATTTGTGCTCGGAGGCCTCTGCGCAGGGATCCTCATCGGCGGCTTGCTGTCCGACAAGATGATCGCCTCATACACTCGGCGCAAGGGGTATCACAAGCCCGAGTCGGCGTTGCCACTTTTTCTACCGCTTGGCATCGTCATCCCGCTATCTACTGTGCTGACTGGGTACGGTTTGGCAAATGGATGGCACTGAGCCACCATAGGCGTGCTCTGGAGTGTCGTCAATGTGAACATGACATCCGGGTGCACTATCCTGATATCGTATGCGACCGACATTTACGCGGCGAAAGCCATAGACATTGGCGTCGTCGTCAACGTGCTGAAGAACGCTATCGCAGCCGGCATCTCATTTGCTGTAGTGGATTGGTGGACGAAGGACGGCTGGTACATGTTCCTTGCACTCGCTCTTGTCAAATTCCTCATTTTTGTCTTGGTGGCGTCTCTATGGATTTGGGGCCCCAAGATTGCTCATGTGACGAGATCTTGGAGGTGGCTTCAAGGACACAACGTAAACTAAGAATCTCCCAGGGCGCAGTCATTGGCCGCGGTTGGGACAAACGTGCATGTTGTACACGGGCGCTAGATGTGGCTCGCCACATCCTCAATGGGTATCCCTTCATGACATGACCTGGGACCTGTATTTGTATCGTCCCTCGGCATAACTAGCCTATCCTGCGCCTAGTCATGATGCTTGTTGTCAGAATCGTTCAGTGCGATATAGCTAGATCTGAGAAACGCGCTTCAAGCAGCAAAAGAAACTGGGATGCCTGTCACGGCACGGAGTGGGGGTGGAGGGAGGGGCCGTGATGGACTTGGCGGGGCCGAAGATCTGCACGTGCGCAGGGGGCTCAGAAACTTTAGAGTATTTACCCCGGCCTGAAATGGGGTTCATCCGAACCTATCATGTAGTTCGTGCATGAACATTGGAAAACCTTGGATGTATTCACTGGGTTCGTGACGCTTGACACATGGTGAAATACACGTATCAACACGGACGTTTTGCCCCCCGACTTCCCTGCCAAGTTTACAAACGCTACAGTTTCCTTCGCAAGTTCCGTAATTTTTCACCTCGCATCAGGTACTGCCACTTGCTACGGGTAGAGATGATCTCTTCAACTCTTCCGAGGCCATTCTGCCAGGGTCATTTTAGAGTTTCGGACAACTTAGCAGTCTCAAAAGTATTTACCGTCAAACAGAACTCCCCGGAACTTCCGAAAACCTGCTGCCCTGGGATGTTCCGACGGCGTAATAAATACTTTTGTAGAACGGCTGTATCTCAATGGCAGACGAAGGTAGCCGGTCTACTGTCGATCCCAATTTTAGGTAAGCTATTTTGTGGCATGGTATTTCGTGCTTAAACGTCCCTCGTCTAGTTTGGAAAGCGGGGGATGATACGAAGTGCGGCTTGTCGTTGGAGGAAATCTAGCCTGGATACTTGCCTTATCTATAACGTGCCTTTTGGCGGTGGGAAAGAGCAACAGCACCCGGAAACCACAAGTCTACCGTGGAATCTGCTTCAATACCGGTCCCAAGTGAAAGCGGTGCGTTGCGACTGGAAAAATCCTTTTGGTCACATCACGCCTTACGGTGCTGCGTCCTCGGCTCCTTCCCTCATCCCAATGTCCCACAGCCGCCGTGTACAACCAACAAGCACATGAGGACAGTAGCAGGGCGAGCGTGCAAGTAAACTACTTCCCGAAAATGTCAGTCTCCTCCCCCAGTCCAGTTTCTCTAGAACACCCACCTAATTGCGGCAATTTGTCTGCTTTCTCCATTCGCATCATCTCAAAGGCACAATTGGGAAACCGGGCTGCAGTCAATCCACGCCGCAAATAAACATAGGGTGTGTCTTGCAGAGTAGCCAAGATAAGCTGGGACCGGTTGGCTAGGCCGTGTTTAGAGCAACGAGACGACGATGTGCACATCAAGACAACCCTGCCACCTGGACAGCCTACATAACCATCAAAAGAAAGTCTGTCAAACACATACGGCCATACCCATTGGAGAACTCGGGATCCCGTCCGCTCTCCCATAGATAAGCCAATGAGGGCTGGAGTAGTAGTCGGGTCGGTGACGACCGGCGAATGCCCGGTGTTGTATGTAATTTTTTTTGCCTCTGAATCAGTTTACTTGCACACCCAGGGCTGAGGGTTCTGTATTTACTCCTAGTGTGAGTGGGAGGGACCTGCGTTGCACCAGATGCATCTCAATATGACAGCGACCAGTCTCATCTATTACTAATTGATTATAGATCAGTCCAGACCGTCAAGATTCGTTTACATCAATCTTCCATCCCAATCCGCAACGGTCCGCCCTCTCGGTGATGCTGCGCGTGAGTAGTGTCGCTGTCGGCGACGCGGACAGCTGCCAGTGTCCTTGGCGAGTGTTCCTCGCAGCTTGTTGCCTTCGACTTCAGTAAGAAGGACCCCAAGAAAGATGACGATTCTCCTACGCTGGCCGCCAATGATCAGAAGCCTCTTCAAAACACCTCGAATAAGACCTCGCTTGGTACTAGGTGGAATTGGGGAACACAGAGCTCATCAGTGTGCAAAGTAGTAATGTGCAGACAGGTACCTAAGTGGAGGTGCCTCTTGTGCAAAGAGGCACGTAGCGTGGTCTGTGCATCTTGCACCTTACCTTATCTGCAGTGCAAAGCCCGCCGGGCGTCATGTGCAAGCGAGGCCACCCGACCCTTTTGGTTCCTTTTGATTGGCTGGAAGCTCCCCAAATCCTCGAGTGTCCCCACTGGACTCTGGCACGGCCCCGGTTTATTGCTTGGGCCATGCTGCTTTCCACCCCTTCCAGTCGAGCAATTTCTCCATTTCACACCTGTCTTTTCACGCCGCTCATCGTGCAATTCGTGAATTCTCTCAATCCAGCGAAACAGGTGAGGCCGTCCCACACCAAGTCAGCAATAAATCAGCCTGTTGTGTCTGCCGCTTCAACAAGCAGCGGCGCCGTCTCCACCATGGCAACACCAAGGCGACGCGCGCTGCAAACGCCTAACGCGACGAGCCCCGGCCCGACGCTTGACTCCATCACCGTCGCCGGCGATGGATCATCGTCCCCAGAGACGCCAACAAGTGACGACCTCCCCGACGCGTCAGTGGGCACTCCCAATCGATCTAGACCAGAGGCATCTGCATCTGCATCTGCATCTGCATCTTCAGCACGCCCAAACCGTACGCCTGGGCCCACTCCTCGCCCGTTCGCCGCCGAGACAAGTAATCGGAAAAACAACAATAGGTCGACTTTGGACTTGCTCTGGGGTAGGAACAACTGGAACCCTCCTCCTTCCATCACTGGCCCGAAGCCCAAGGATCAGCTCGGTGTGAGGGACACGTCTATTCTATGCAGCATATCGAATCTTGCGGTTGAAAACAACGTCGACCTCCCGTCCCTGTATCGTCCCGGCGGCGTCATCTATGACGCAGCCGCAGCACTTCACAATCCAATCCAATGGTCGTCCAAGGTACTGTCCGAAGCCTACAAAAGGCTCAGAGAGCAGTACCCGGACACAATTCTCAAGCGCAAGAAGCACCCGAACGTCTCACGTCTGTCGCTTTCCTCGAACCCAGGCCCGCAAGGGACTCCCACCCCCCTCCACCTGACTGCTGAGACCCAGCCGATTGTCAACAGCCAGGCTCCGGTCGAGTCACCAGGAGAACTTATGCCGCAACCTACCGTGCGTCGAGCCCGCAGCCTCGAAGCTGCGTCTTCGCTAGCACGGATGCTAGAGCAGCGCACAGAGAATATAGCTCAAGCAGCACTTCATTTCCATGACCGCGACTTGGCAGGTTTGACGGATCTTCAGAGGCGCTGCCTGGTCCAATTGGAAGGCAACTTGCCGCTGACAATAGATTCAATGCGCCACCTTGCCAAATGTGTCGAACGGCGCGTCGACCACCCTGATGCGTTTTGCGCGGACTTTTCGTACATGCCCGGAGACGTTGACGGTGCGATTCCAGAGGCTTTGCCTGATGGTTGCGTTGACAGTGGCACCGACGTGCTCCTATTGCCGATTCACCACAAGGCCGACGACTCGTGGTCTCTTGCTATTTGCAACTCGGAAAGTGGCATTTTGGAATGTTACTCTCCTAAATCATCGCAAGATCGTCTGCAGTCTTTGCGCGACATTCTTCTTCCTTGGTTGGATGCCTTTTTCCCGCATGCAGACATAGATATGCATGTCCTAGTACGCCGTTTTTCACCCCATTTTAAAAGCCACAAAGCTGACCATAGAAATAGGAGGGAACAAGTTGCGAACACCCTGCCGACAGTGGTGTTTACGTTCTTCTAGCGATTGAGAACCTGATGCGCGACAGCCAGTCTTGGGGACTGTTTGCGCAGCTCGAGGAACCCGCCGAAAACCTTCGCAAAGTGTTGCGGCAGTACCTCTCTGACCTCACTATCGATGCAATAAAGCCCAAGCATCGGCAAAGCGATGGTCCTGGTCCGCGTCCGACTACCAAGCGCCCTAATTCTCTCATTGCCCCGGAACAACCGGCTGCCAAGCGACCCTGCCTTGCGCGTCCGATGGATCACCGCGCTCGCGTCAGCGCCAGCGCCAGTCCCGCGCGTTCAAGAGAGAGCCTCGAGAGGGTCAAATTCATGATCAGACAAGCAAAGGTCACTTACCAGGAGCAGTTTCCTTGCTTAGCAGATCTGCAGACCTCCGTCGGAGCGCTCGAGGCCAAGCTTAGCGACTTCAAGCTGGAAGCCTCAAAATGGCAAGCAGCCAGCGACGCCAAAGAGTACATTTTCAAAGAGGCACAAAGCAAACAAGAATCAGCAAATCATGACCTTCTGGATGCCCAACAAAAACTAGATGAAGTATTGGCAGTTGCAGCAACGTTGGAAAAGACCCCAGGGGCTAGTACTTCAAAGTCAATTGCCAACATCCTCGAGATCACACGCAAAGAAGTCCAGACATGTCAGGATGACCGTGAACTTGCCAAAACGAGACTCAATGACTTGTCGAACGAAATAAATGAAGCCAAAGAGGCATACTGGCAAGCCCAGGAGAAGCTTAGCAGCGCTGAACAGGACGTGTTGACCACGAAAGATTCGTTGGACGGTGTTGCCCAGGCACTCCAGCTGGGCAAGTATCTGGAAGAGTTTACTGGTTGAGTGCAAGAAGGGACATGCTTCTGAGCTAAAGGGACATAGCCAGCCAGCAGGCGGCATTTGCCA